TCTGGCACCAGCTGAGATCTGGAAGGCCACAGGATTTTTTTGTTTTTGATCAATCAAGCAAGCAGAACTTGCCATGGGGGTGTACATTCTCTGCATACATATTGATCCTATTGTGTTTAAAAGTAGTTAATTTAATCGGGGCTTTTTGAAACCTTGCCTGGTAAGACTTGCATTATTGGAGCTGTCATTTCAAGGTCATGTTTCAGTGTCAGGAACTTAATGGTCATGATGGAAGTTACCTGTAAATATAATATCAATACTTCGGTTATTCTGTGTTAAAGTTGCACTGATTGAGAGCTCATTTTACACACGTGCATGTAAAAATGTTGAGTTACAGCTGGAAAAAATATTGCTTTCATTAAATTAGAGATTTTCAAAGCAATACAGTGTTACTAAACATACAAACATCAACACTTGTGTTCACTGCTGTTTGGACCCTTGGCCGGCCCCTTTGCAAGGGGGCTTTGACTTCAAGAACATACCTTAGACCTTGTCTCTTCCAGCAAAGTGGCTGGAATAGCAGAGGTTTTATTCAGGGCTCTTTCTGGTAGTTTTGACCTTTTACCTCACACTTTGTCTTGTTTCAAAGCAGCAGCATGCAGAAGATGGATTGCATATTAACTATAAACACTTCTCTCTACTGTGGTAAATATTTGGAAGTACAACATGTAAGGACTGTCTGTATGATAAGTTGCCTGTTTGAGTGCAGAGTAGATTTTATAAGGCAGGATACAGTTCACTACTTTTTTGTCCATATCTGATGTAAAGATCTTTTAGTGTTTCAGATGAAAGCATTATATACTTCCAAGATTTTTCCTGTGAGGATGTTAACTGCAGACTTTATTTGCTTCTTTGATTTGATGGATTTGGAAGGAGCTTCAGAAAGATATCCTGGTGAAAATTGGATTCAGATGCCATGGCACAAAGTACATCTCCCAAACTCCCAAACTGCTTTTCCTCTTGTAGTTGTGGCATGCCTGGGGCCCTGCTGCTTGCTGAGGACTGGGGTTCCAGGGTGATGTGGAGTGTGAGGTGCAAAGCACTGTCTTGCATACAACTCTTGCAATCATCTATCAGTAATTCTCTTCTGTGGAGTTCCCTGCATGTGTTTTCCCTAACTGAATGGGAATTTATCACAGATTTCAGTACCTGATCACTCGGTGGCTTAGAATGAGACAGGAACTCTAAAAGATGATGTGGGGTCCAGAGTTGGGATACTCTTTAGGAAGGACCAAACTTGACTGGTGGTTAGTTTAATTTCCATATATTTAATGCCCAAAATGGTACTGCATGGCATCCTATGGGGAAATTATCTATATTAAAAAATAGTGCATTTATACCTTCTGTGTTTACAGTCTGGTGGCTTGGTGTTGGCTGTGCTATGAGAGTGCAATAGAAAGTCTCCAGATCAGGATAGGGACCTCCAATTGTAACTCATCACAAACTAATAAATATGGCTAAATACAAATAATAAAAAAGACTAAAAGAGTGCATATCATGATTTTAGTTTTTCCTGACTTTACACTGAACAGAAGACATTTGGTTAGTGGGTCCTCTGTCTTGCTCTTTGTTTTATGACTCTTTTATGTCCATTAAACTCAGTGCTGTCAATCTCATGTACTGTAATGATGGTTGTTTCCTGTAGTGTTTGAATATGAGAGCTGTTTAAAGCTCAGCTGAGAGAGGAGGGAATTCTTTGCATCTCACTGTGGAGAAGGGGTTCCCAGCATTTGTGGCATTACTTTTGTGAGTGTGTCACTGGGAGATGCTAATATGACCTTCCCTTCGTTAAGTAAGAGATTTCTAGCACCACTCCAGACTTCTCTCTCTTCACTCACTCTTGTTCCACCAACTGGATAGAGAATTTTGGGGATATTTCAGGTCGTTGGCTTTTGCTTCAGTCTTATTAGGCATAGAGTGCAGATCTTCATTTAGAATCAGGCAGCATTCTGTAGACAGGCATGTGGGTGTTGGCTGGAATATCTATCACTTTAATTTAATTTTTTTTCTAAACGGTGTGTGCTCAAATGTCAAAACACTGGGGGGTGTTGCTTGCAAACTACAGATTTATCAGGCAGCCAGGACACTGCAGTGGGCGTACTCTGGTTACATGATGCAGTTGTCAAGGGCACAGGCTGGCGTGCTGCTTCTAAATTCCTGTGGAATTTAACTGAGCAACAGCTGGTCTGTAGGATGTGTAGATTTTAACAAGGTAATGTTTGTGTTTTGGCGAAGGACTTGTGTGACATGCTGCTGAAACTGCTCCAAAGTGCCTTCTTCCTCCAGTCAGCTCTGTAGGGATCTTGAGAGAGTTTGCGGGTGAAATTTCTCCACTCTCTCTGCACGTCTTGATTTTGTCACAATTAAATTCTACAAAAGTCTTCCATGGGGGTTGGGGGAAAAAAAAAATCAATGCCACTAACTACAGCTACAACAGAAATTTTGGGCTTTAATTGTGTCAGATTCCTTTTCTCTGCAATTGTTTTCCCCCCCTCCTTTTTTTTTTCCACTTGAGAGAGGTTTATGGTGCTGTGTCCATCATGATAACCCTGTCTTAAGGTTGAAGTTGTATTTCTCCCTGCGTTCCTGGAGGTGATGTTATCTTTTGGTCACTCAGCAGTATGGTCATTCCTGAGAGCATCTGTCACTTTAGGCATTGTAAGATGGATGAGTCTCAAGTGAACTGCTGGTTGAAGCAAATGGTGAATATAAGAAAAGACAAGGGGGTTGGGGGGCCGTCAGAGGGGACAAGCAACAAGGAAGCACTGTTAGAAATCAAAAGTAAGCCAGGTGGTAGTGGAAGAAAGAGTCAAGATGGATCACATGTTAGGAGATCCCACAGGTCTTGGAAACAAAGGTTGGTGGCTGATGAATTCTGAGGAGATCTGTGTCTTGGCAAAAATGCTGCTGATTTTTTTCCTACTTCACTGGAAAATAAGAGGGGATCATGAGGAGATGATCTGAATATCAGATGAAGAAATTGGTTTTTATGTCACATTGTGTTGTAAGGTTAGGACAAATTAATGCTGCCAATAATCAGAAAAAGAGGGTTAGTGATACTTTGTGTCTTAAATATTGTGTAAGAATCTGCTGTTACTGGGCAAGTAACAGTATAAAACCAAAATAATGTATCTGCAGTTCAGCTTTTAGAAAAAGCAGTAAACTTAATCCGTAGCTGTTTGGATTTCAGAAAGCGCTTCATGTTTTTCAAAGAGGGAAGTTTCACTACAGCATCTCTGCTGATTTAGCTCGACTAATTGAGTTAGATGTTTTAACAGAAAATGATCTTAAAAAAGCTCCACACACAAACCCCAGGAAAACTCCCCCCAAGCCAGTGACAAGCAAATCCATAGCCACTGGAGCGAGCACACCCTGGCTGGGCTTGCGGAGCAGCCGGCTGGGGACAAAAGGCACTTCCAGCCCAGTGGTGTCAAGGTTTGGGAAGGGTCCAGCAGGATCTTGGCTTGAAAAATTATTTTGTCACACGATTGGCATTGGTCCATAAGGGGAAGGACTGGTTGAAAGGCGAAGAAATTAAGATGATTAGAAGGTTTAAAGCTTCACAAATGGTGGAGTATCTCTCTTCTCAATAGATGTAAATAATACATGAAAGACCGAGAGTTGACAACAAAGGATGAGGGCGTTTAAGAGAATGTGTGCAGCCTGAATAGAGGTCTATGGCCTAGGGCCAAAGGTCTTAGCTTTGAGTGTAATTAGAAGAAAATACAAAAATGTCATTACTAGCAGGTGAAATGTTCAGCACGTGTCCGAAAAATAGCAATTTCAGAGGCAGGAGCCGTTGGGGTTGGAGGACTGGCGTTCAGCGGTCGCGGGGTTCTCTGCAGGGCCCTCCAGCTGGGGCTGGGGCTGTGCTGGCCCTGGGGTGCCTGAGGGACCCGCTGGCAGTGAGGTGGGGTGCCCAGGACAGGGTCCCATCGGTGGTCCCTCGTTAGAGCTCTTCAACCTCTTCCCTCAGGCAACCGCCCGCGACAGTCCCACCCAACACCCTTCCAGAGTGAGAGGTGGGAGTTGGAGCTGCTCGCTGAAATTAGCTTATTTTTAAAAATGGGAGGAGGGGGAGGAAGCTTAAAGCTGTTTGGGTTTGAATTTTAGACCCTAGGCCTAGAATTGGGGGTGCAGAGCTGAGTCCTGCCCGCGCTGGCTGCGCCAGCAGGCCCCAGGCCGCACTCCCGCCTCAAGCCTCAGACCCCATTTGTGGGCAACAGGAAAAATCCCTGTAAATCTTCTGGCAAAAATGTTGTCTGTTTTGATTGAGAAACAAACCAGTTCGTGTGCCTAAAAGTCTTGTTGAATTCCAGACAATTATAACGTAATATAAAGCTTTTCCTGAGGTTATTTACTGTTCTGTACAGCCCCGTGTATTTTAGGAGTTACTCTTCTGCCGGCCGCTTGCTACCCCATTGTTGCCATTCTTTGGGGCATTTCAGGTGTATTCTCTTGCATAAACTCCAATTTCTGTTAGAAATGTTTTCACTCAAATACCTTTTTGGGATGTCAGATAGGAGAGCAACTGGCTAATTCAGGTTTAATTTTGAACATTGGAGTTTAGCATAGATAACTCCTCACCCATTCAGTTTTTAAATCAATAGTAAAATAATCACTTCTATGTTCTTTTTTTTAGTTTTATTTTTCTGTGATAGTTATTTTTTTCATATTGATGTGCCAGGTTCCTAATATGTCATGTGTTGATTTCAGGACCAAATATGTGCAGATTCTGTGACAAACTTGTAGTTCTGGTAGAATGCAGAGGTGCAGCCGTGCAGCTGCAACCAAGTATTCCTGTGAACAAAAAGATGCCTTTAATAAAGAGATCAGCCCTCCTTTCCCCACTCCAGTTTAGTTTTCACCCTAGACCAGGTTTAGATAGGCAAGTTATAAATTAAATGGCTTCTTATAAATTATATGCTGGCAGAAGTAATTCTAATTTTTTTTCTCCCTTCTTGTTTTTCAGGTGTTCAGGAGTTTTAAACAAATTTGCAGCAGGGCTTCACAAACTCTTAGCTGCACCCTTTAATCATGACTACATTTCAAATAGGCTAAAAGGAATCTGAAAAGGTACAGTACTTGCCTTTCTGATAGACAATATGTTGTATGTTTGTGTTCAGCATCTGTGCTTTCATTTCCATTGACTGTATTTTAGGAACAGTGTGGACAGTAAATAATAATTTCAGTTTTGCTTTGGGCCTGTACGATGTCTAAGTTGTTCAAAAATCTTGAAATCCAGTTCATGTAATTAAACAGCCTTCACCAAAGAGGGCTGGTTTGTGCTTCCTTTTTCTTATATATCTACAACGAGGTCAACTTCATTATTTAATGACAGTTCCTTTGAAGCTGTAATGATTTTCTTCTGCTGTTTTATTTAGAAGCACTGCAAATACCTAAGCAACTAGCTAAATACATAGTTTATGCACTTGGAGGGTGGATGTTTGTTTGTTTGTCCTCTCAAAGGGTTTAAAGCAAATGGAAAGAATACAGATCTTTGTAATGATTGGGGTAGCTCTGTACTTCCAGCTGAGATTCTCACACGTTTTTTTCTGACTTCTGAAAGTGGAGAGGTTTGTCTCAGTATACATTGTTAGGTTCACACAGTTTCTTGCTGCATTTAAATAACCAGTGTACCCTAAAGGCTGAACATCTATTCCTGCTTTAGGTCCTGTTGTATCTGTGGGGCAAGGGCAGTGCTGAGCAGAGCAAGGGGGTCATGGCCACAGTCCGGGTTCCGAGTGGTGCTTGCAGGTACCCAAAACCTGCCTGCAGGAACATTTTGCAACATCTGGAACATGGCAGAAGTCTGGAGGAGGGGGGAACCTCTAGGATTTTGCTTTGCCAGGTGCTAGGAGGAAGCAACATTAACCTTTTTGATAGGGGGGAGGCAGATTCTATGGCCCTGAAGTTAGGCTAAACAATTGTGGAGGTCAAAGGACAGCTGACTGTGGTCAATGAGACACCCTGGGGTGTATTTTGTTACTTAGTAAAAGGAGTAGCATCCTAAAACCCTAAAGGATTCTCTTGAAAATCTGTGTTGTTGAAAGGTTTTATGAGTCTGATGGCAAAAAGTGCTGATTTAGCTGAGGAATGCTTGCTTTTGTCTAAATGAAAGGCTAATCCTTACCAAATGTTGGCAGCTATTATAGTGCAGTCAATGCAGGTCTGAAAGGACAGTTAGAGTAGAAGTGTACTTTGGAATCCCAAATGTTTATCATTTTAATGGTTCTGTAACTGAAAAGATTTTTGAACTTTCACCTTTGATCCTAAAATTTATACCATGAGCAAAATATGTGAAGAAGTAAAAAGTAAAATCCTTTCCTTGTAAAATTAAAGGACTGTTCCTTGGGGAGCTGCTCCTGCCCAGGTATTCTATATCCCCTGACAAATTAGCTTAAGATAGCAGGGTTCTGTGTCATTTAAACTATAACTTATTTTAATCTGCTAACACGTTAATTGGTGGGAAAAAAAAATTGGTGGTTTTTTTTTTTCTGGTCTTGAGCAATTTTTTGCTCTTCTTGTTTCAACACTCATAAAAAAAAAAAGTTTTTGAGTAATTCCTATAATTTGTTTAGCATTATCTTTCTTTAAAAGCTACAGCTTAACACTTAACATTTGTCACAGAAACAGATAAGAAATCAATGTCAGAGCCAAGACCTTGTAAATAACCTGAAAGGAAATGTAATAATGGCTGTCTTCAGCAGAGAGGTGCTGGGGGGAGGACCAGGCATGGGCAGAAAAGGTTCAGTGCTTTTTGTTTTCCTTGGGAAGGGGGGGTTGCTGCTGCAAGACACAGTCCGGGGCCTCCCACTCTTTGGCCCTACTGTCTTACCCACCCATTGTTCTGGGAGGAAGAAAGAGACACTCAGGAGCAAGCAGCAGAGGCATTTTTATAGTGACTAACCTGGCGTCTCATTGTGACCTTTAAAAGAACGTTATAAGAGTGAAAAAGAATAAACTGAATAATTTTATAGTGGAAAAAATTAGAAAAGAATTTGACAAGTAGGGTGTTTTTTTTGCTTGCAAAACATAGCTCTGCAAAGAGCTTAATTTTTAAACTCCTTAGAAGGACTCTATAGAGATGCTTAGCATTGATTTATGTCAAGGTTAAGGCACCTTTAAACAAATAAAGTTGGGAATGGATAAACCTACTAAAATACAAATTGTCTATTAAACACAGAAGATGTTTGTATAGCATTTGGGCTGCTACAAAACTGACACATCTCCAAATTCTCCTGATAACCCCTTCTAAACTCATCAGCAGATATGTTTGAGGGGCACACAAAGGAGAGGCCAGATAGAATAGAGATGGAAGGTCAGGCCTTAACTTTGACTTTCTGGGCTCCAGCAATAAGGCAGTAACAAATGAAGAAAGGATTAAGGTGATTTATTTATCAATGAGGCTGGACTGGCTTTTGCTGGAGGAACTCAATCAGATGTCTATTTTCAGCATTATCCCTAGAAGCAATGAATACTATATTTTACATATATGTCTCTGTGGAACACAGGGGTGGATAAAATAAATTGTATAATAAAACTGTTTAGAGAAATACTTATTTGGGGTATAATCTTTAATATTTTTTTTTTTATGTCCCTGGAATTGAATTACTCAGAGTATGTAAAATGGAAGTCCAGGAATTAAGATTTTTTTCATCTACTGGAGAAAGTTGTTCTGTATCTATAAAGTGTTTATTTATCAGGTGAGGCTTTTTTTCAAGTGGATTTTAGACCACACTGAGAATTTTATACATAGCATTTATATCTTACTCTGGCAGCAGTCACAGAAGAATATTATGAGCACATGTTTCTTGAGTGTCAGTGTTTGCTGGAGATTTTATATGAATACCTCCAAGAATGCACAGAACCTGTGAATTTTCTGTTACTGAGTCACTCACTAAACCATAACAGCTTTGGGAATCAAGATTGCCTTTGCTAGGATGTTTATGTTGTGGGTAAATTAAGTCCAGCCTGTAAATATCATCAAGATCTTTCCTTCTGAGAGAAAAACAAGTAGAGAACTGCATCTAATGTCTCCAACAAATAATCTATTTCATTATAACTTTTCTTCTTCCAAGGCATGAAGACCCCATATGCAATTTCTCATAATGGGTGGGGAGTTGCATTACAGAACAAATATAAACATTAGAAATAGGAGAAGAAAACAATTTCCTATTAAGTGTTAATAATATGTAATTTTCAATTTCTGCATTTCTGTTTTAAGTAAAGATAGAGGTTTTTCTTTGCCAGGCCTAGATTGGATTATAAGTGCCATTAAATGGCATTATAAAAATGCCATGTGTGGATGTTTAGCCCACAGATACCTACTGGGATTCCTAAGGATCTAGAAAAGGCAGCTTGAATGTCAAAGTTCTTGTTAGCTAGAGCCCTGGGTGTGATGTTTAAGTTCTGTTCTGTCAATTGACTGTTCCTTGCAAATTTCATCTTGACTGAAATGTGGGATGTTGCAGAAAGCCCAGTAGTGATGTGCATCTTTGATCTCAAACGGGGGTTGCCTCTGGTAATTTCAGAGATTCTGGACAGAGCTTTGTTTATTTTACAGAAGAATTTGTGGTATTCTGGGGGGGGGAGAAAGCAGAGTCAGCTTTGACACGTTACCCACACATGTTGCATAAGAGGAAAAGGAAGAACTCTCTAAAGCACTGTGCACTTTGAAGTCTATTTCCATTAAAATTCAATATGAGTAATTTATTGGGGGTTTAAACATAAATTCTGTGAGCGATTTAGACACTGTTTCCATGTTTCACCATTTATAAGTTCCTGTCTAAATGGTAGCTTGGGTGTACAATAAATAATACAAGCTATGATGTTTAAAAGTTAATTTTTTGCAGCCCAGTGGCATAAGGATTTACAATAATTTTCATACGTGGCTTGCTAAGCCCTAGTGCACAATCCTACTCCATGTTGGAGGCAATAAAACACCAGGCAGGTGAGTATGCTCTTAGAGTATGAGGTCTAAGAGCATGAGGAGTGGTGCAGAGAGGTTGTGCAGCAAAAAGCTGAAGGAGAATTACAAATTGAGCAAACTCATTGGCTGGAAACAGCATTACTATCATTAAATCTCCATTAAAAACATAGCTTTAAATTAACTGATGCCTCTGAGCAGATGACATTTGCACTATAGGTTATTGTAAAGTACAGAAACTACATTTTCTGTCTCTGATAGTTCAGAATAGTTTGTTAATTAGTAGTTACTAAATATAGTCATTAGCTAATAGCTTTCAGTAAGGTCTGTGTATGTATTATTGCTGAATCACAGAATGGTTTGGGTTGGAAGGGACCTTAAAGATCATCTACTTGTAGCCCCCCTGCCATGGGCAGGGACACCTCCAGCTAGGCCAGGTTCCCTTTAGTATGTTTATTATTTTGTGAGCTGTGCCTGAAGGCTGTGGGGATGGTGTCAGAGTGGAAGGGACAGAGCCATAAAAGCAGGGCAGCCTCCAGGTTAGCAGTGCTTGTGATTTGCTTTCTGTTTCATGTTGTGGGGGAGCAGCTGCCCTGTTCCATCACCCTGCATGTAGCTCTGTTGTGTAGCCATTTGTCTCTCTGCCCAAGGAAGGGTCCCAATCCCAGGTAGTCTGATGCAAGACTTCAAGTACAGATACTATAATTGAGCAATAAGAGGAAAAACCTTGTCAGAAAATAAAAACAAAAAAACAAACCAAAACCCCCACAACATTCTTGATCTTTCTCATTCCTCTGACACAGTAGTGGCAACATCAGCCTGAAAGACAAGATTCTGCACCATAATAGATGCTATCAATAGTTGCTTCAAAATAAAATGAAAACAAAAACAAAAGCAAACTTCACTGCAAACAGAGTCAAAACAAGCTAATCATTCATTTTTCCTGAAAGACTTTGTGAATGAGTTATTTATCTATCACTTGCTGCATAAGATTGCAAATTCTTTTGTAGCTGTTTGAATATCCCTAATCAAGACAAGCAGGGTGAGAGTCTCAGGATCATGAAAGGACTGTGGGGGGAAAAAAAGGGATCTTGCAAAGGTTATGAGATGAGGGATCTGCTAATGAGACTGCCCTGCACTCCTGTATTGACTCACACACCAGTTAGCTCTTTCTCCACTGAATGCTGCAGTTAACACTGGGTAGATATTTTTGACTTTGAAGTCTACACTTTTAAATAGTTTCTATATTTGTTACTGTTGTTGTAAGCCATCCTCCTTTCTGCTGTATGCATTTTGGTGAGACACTGATGTTCTAATAGGAAAAAAGAATAAGAATGACATAAGTAATAGAAAATTCTAGCTGTACCCAAAACAACCAGTTCCCAAACAATTCTGCAGCATAAAGAGCTGCCTGGTCTGTCTTTGCCCAAGATAACCCTTTGAGATACAGAAGCTGTGCTGGGCCTGCCAGTGCCTTTGTGAAGGAACTTGCTTTCTTTTCCTTTGAAGAGAAACTTTCCTGTAGGGTTAGGCCAGATCAGAAGCCAGATTATGTGTTTTGGAGAACACAATTACATCATTAGGTTAAACACAAAGTGAGGGCTTGATAGAGCCAACTTAATGGAGAGTGTTTGCATCAGATTCATCATTTGCTATCAGGTAATTGTGAAATTGCTTTAAGCCATAACAACAATACCCACCCACTCCCTCATTCTCCAGCTCAGTTCCTCTCCTTTAAAGTCTCTGGGGTCATGACCCACCTGGAGGCCAAATATGTGGTATCTGGTGTCCTGAATGATCTGATTATATTTTTACTAGCAGAGCCTTCAACTCAGTGTGCAGTTCTAGCTCCCAACAGCTATTGGGTAACAACCACTTTCCAGAGGTTACTTTTTTTGGTATGTGAAGGACCATTGTCACCTGTTTTTCTGACTAGAAGTGAGTGTTGTTGTACTTCCACACTGCAAGCCTGCTGGGTGTGACTCTGGTTCTTTGTCAACATCCAGTGTCACGTTTCTGCACAGATATTTTGAAACCTGGATGACCACATGGGACAAGATTATTTGCCTGAATTGACAAGACTTTCTTGTAAGTTCAGCTTCTGTGGTTGAAAGAGTGGTCAGAATTTCCCTGGGTCCTTTACTGCAGTTAAGTGCTAAAATTAGTGGTCTTTGAAATTTAGCTTTTATGACTTCCATTTCTGTCTGCTTGATGGAAGCTCCGGGTAATTGTAGTTTTGGTTTCCATAATAAATGCCCATGCTTCATTTGTATTAATACCTATAGCACTAACACTGCACTTGTGGTCAGGTTAGTGGAATTTCACTCTCACAGGACGCAGACTGAGGTTTGAGGACTGCCCTCCCAGCTCTGTCCTAAGGCAGCTCTCAAACTGTAGCAAACCTCAGAGCTAATTGATGTGTCAGGCAGTAAGTCATCATGTCTTAATACCTGGAGGTTTGCACAGGAGTATCCTGAGAGTGATAGGGTTGGATCCTGCATTGCAGATGTGCGAATGGCTGATTTCTGGGAATATACAGGAAGGCAGGATATACTTGCTATTTGGATAATTTTTCTTTTTTAGGAAGGAGCGTTAGTTTAGTTACATTCAATCATTGGGTTTGGTCGTATTTAAATGCTTATAGGGTGGGTACATGTCTTAATAACATGTCCTCCTTTCTCCTGCCCATCAAATCCCAGCAGTTTCTCTGTCCTGCAGACTCTCCCCCTCTCCAGCCCGGGTCCTGGAGGACAGCGAGGGTCCCAGTGCCCCACCAGCTGCTGGGGGTGGAAGCAAAAGCAGAACCACTCAGACATTAACACTTCTCTTGGTGCTCCCGGCGTCTGAGCAGGCTGGGCTAGGGTGGCACAGCCCCAGCTGGCCAGCAGCTC